CCTGCTGCTGTTGCGGGAAGGAGGCTGTGTGGACGCAGGTCGGGCGCCTGTCCCCAGGCTGAGCATCCCTCCTGTAAGCTAGGGATGCCGACGGTCTTGCCTGGCGAGGGGAGGCTGGAGTGGACTGGGTTCTGTGGAGCAGCTGGGGTAGGTTAGCAGCTGCGCCGTTAACCTGCACGGATATGACCACCAGACCCAGGTGCTGCCTGCCCCAGGACAGCCTGCAGGAGAGGGAGGGCCCAGGACAGCCTGCAGGAGGCGGGCCCAGGACAGCCTGCAGGAGGGGGCCCAGGACAGCCTGCAGGAGGTGGGCCCAGGGCCGCCGGATTCCACAGCCCCTCTTCTGGTTCCAGCTCAGGGACCTGGGCGTCCTCAGGCAAGGACCCTCCAGCTCTGGGCCTCGTGTCTGCACCTGACACGGACCGTTAGCCACAGGGTGTGGGGCTCCTACGAGTCAAGGACCCCCTGTCGCAGCCTGGTGCCCACTCTCGCGAGTGCGCTGTCCACCGTGCCGCCGGCCACCCTGCCGTGCCTGCTGCCCATGAAGCCTGCCTCCCGCTTTTCCTAAGAGGAGATGGGGCAGCTCGTTCTGTGCTGTTTCTCCTAGAGTTCCAGCCCCAAAGTCAAGGCCACTCGGGAGGAGGGCCCTGGGACAAGCCAGCAGCCGGAGGGGCCCTCCCAGGCCTCCTTGCACCCCCCCGCGCATCTCGACACCGCACAGGCCTGGCAGCCCTGGCAGCCAGCGCCCCCGGAGGAGCCCCGAGAACCCGCAAGTCCCACGGTGAGTGGTCGGGGGAGCCCTGGTCCTGGTGCTCGCCATTAAAAGCATTTCCTGTGCTGCGTGGCCACTGTGTCACGGCCGCTGGGCCCTGCGCACCTGGCCCTGCCAAGGGGAGGAGGGGCGGCTGGCCCAGTGGGAGGAGCACAGGCAGATTCTGGCACAGTCCCAGCTGTGCCACTGGCCCAGGTGTGTCCTCCCCTCTCTGAGCCCGTTTCTTCATCTGCTGAATGGGGACAGGGGTTCCACCATCCCTGGGCTGCTGTAGGGCACAGTGAGACAGAGCAGATAGACCGGCCTGGCTGGAGGACAGAGGGTGGTGCATGTGTGGCCACCCAGCTGCTGGGCAACCCCCTTCAGGACTGGCGTGGGCTCTGCTCTCCCGGCCCGGACGGCTTGGCCTCGGGGCTACTGGCCCCGGATTGCAGCAGAAGAGCCTCTCCTGGCAGATGAGAGGGGCCTGGCCCAGGCTCAGTCATCTGGGGCAGGGGCCGGGGTCGCTGGTGTGGGCGGAAGCGTAGCTGCTTTTGCCATCAAGAGTTTCCTGGTGACCCCGCACCGGCACCACCTCCTTCCCTTCCATCTTAATTAAAATGGCCCCGGGAGGCCCTTTTTCCTCCTAGCAAGCTTCGAAGTCCCCCAGGGCTGGCCACCTGCCAGACTCTAATCTGAGCACTGCCCACCCCGAAGCGACAACCTGGGGGTGAGGACGCAGAAGGCGGCCCCCATCCTGGAAAGGGGCTCGGCCCCCAAGAGTGGCCTTCGCAGGGACCCCACCAGCCCTTGGAGGCACCACTGCTGTCCAGCGGCCCCCTTCCAACACAGGGGGTCCATTTTCATGCCTCCCCCAAGAAAGGGGGTCATTGCCCACTCAGCCCCCGGCCCGAGCGCCACTCTGCCACCCTCTGAGGGCGCTTCCATGCACTGATCTAGAATTCACGTTGCCCACCCCAGGAATCTCTGAAAGGCTTCCCTGGACTGACTGGTACCCGAGAGTTTGTTTGTAGCACTGGGAGGGTAGGGCCACTCGCCCCGAGGCTGGTGGGCCTGGACCCGCAGTCAAGGTCGTGGGGTGCCCGGCTCCTATGCTCTTCTCATCACACCAGTGATGCATGTCAGAAAGAAGAGAACTGTGTACTTACCAAGAGGCTTCAGAGCACCTGGCACCCACCACGAGAGGGTAACTTTATGTTCCCGGGAGGTCCTGTGACACGGAGGAACAAGGGACGGGTGTACTGCGTTCTTTCGTTCCTTCAAGAGAGGCTCAGTGGAGCTCCGAGCGGGTCGGGGCCAGGGTGCACCCATGAACCAGTGCTTGTGCGGCCTCGCCCCTCCCCAGCCCCTCAGGATGCCCTGAGCTCCCGGCCTGAGACCTGTGTGTGTGCGGGGAGGGTTGGGGGAGGGGTGATAAGCCTTTAAGAGGGCAGGGGGCAGGGCCTCTCATTCCGGTTCTCCTCGGCCTTGTTCTGGGCCCGGGCACAGCCCCTTCCCTTCCTCTGCATCCTTGCTCCGGGGTGCCAGGCGGGCCCGGGTGAGGCCCTGCATCTGGACACACTGGTGCTGACAGGTGCCCACCAGGTCCTGCCCCAGTGAGGTTGGAGCTCTGGCCCCTGAGCCATCTCCTCCTTCAAAGGCCCGAGACACGGCTTCTCGGCTCCGAGATGGCCCTCAGCCCGCACTCCCCTGTCCACACCCTGACATGAGTGTGAATCCCTGGGGGGACGCTCAGGGCCACCCTGGGGAGAGCAGCAAGCTGCGTCCAGTTGCGGCATGTGCCTGGGGAGAAAGGGAACAGAAGGGACGCCGAGCTGCACCTGAGGGAGCGGCGGAACGTTCTAGAACAGGTCTCTCTAGGGGCATGACCTTAAATCCAGGAGGAATCAGGAGACCCGGCAGCCCTGCTCCCCAGCCCCCTCCTTGAGGCTGTGACGGGGCGGTTTCTTGATGACCGTCCATGTGCCCAGGGCTCAGGTGGGACCAGCAGGCACACGCGGTGCCGGCCCTGGGGCCAGCGGTCGGGCTCCACACAGAAGTCCTACGGGGGCAGGCACCTGCCCTGCCCTGTGCTGGGGCACGGACGGAGTCTCCCTCCCACCACGCCCTGTGGCATGCCCGCATCTCGACACCCCAGCAGTGGCCCCATTTTGGGGGTGTGGGCCCTGCTTGGGAAGTGGCCGGGCAGGGAGGGGCCAGGACCCGTCCTCTTTCACCCCTCTGCTGACTGCTCGGCCTCCGACCGCAGCTGTCCCCTGGATGTGACGCGTTGTTCCACTTGTGGAACGTTCTGGTCAGGGCTGGTCACCTGGGGGTGGGGGCAGTGCAGCCTGGGTGGGCAGTTACCACCTCCCTGCACTGCCTTGCAGCCTACTCACCAAGCAGGAGGACAGGACACCACCCGTCTGGGCAGCTTCAGCTGGGGATGGTCACCTGCAGCCTCTGAGGCTGGCGTGGGGAGAGGACACACCCGTGGCCAGCAGCCGGCCTGACGTTGGAGGCCAGCTGGCGGAGAGCCACGGCCACATGGGCCAAGGTAACCAGGCAGCGCAGCAGCAGTGGCGGCCGAGGACAGACACCACCCCCTCGGTGGGGCCCCGGCAGCTCGCGGGGGCATCAGGCTCAGGGTCAGACAGACCTGTGTCCTGGTGGGCCTGGCCCGAGCTGTGTGATGGGGGCGACCCTGGCCTCGCTGTCCCTGTGTCTGAGCGCACAGCGCCCTGCAGGAGGGCCACCCGAGCGCACCTCGGGCCAACGTTTTCAGACAGTGGGGGCCGGCTGGGGGCAGGTGAGGCCACCATAACGGGCACTACTGCTCCCTCCCAGGGGGTGCGACTGCTCGGAACAGCCGGCTGGGCTGTGGACTGTTGTCAGGCTGGTCCCCTGGCCCACAGACCTGCCCGAGAACACACCAGAAAAGCTAACGTGAAGAGAGCCCTGCATGTTAAATGTTTCTAAAGCTTTTCCTGGGTCCTCACATCCGTAACTATCCAACAAGAGGGTAATTTTAAGAGCAGGTAACCACGTATGTTTCTGTCCTCATTCTAACCAAATACAAGCAGGTGTTGTGGCTGTTTTGAACTTTAAGGCTATTTTCCCGTGGCTTCAGAATTCCGGGAACCCCTGTCCTCTGCGTCCTGCGTCTGTCGGCGCTGACAGCCCCTGTGCCTCCTAGGAGACCCCCAGACCGAGCACAGCCCCCAGCCAGCAGGGGAGAAGACCCTGGCTCCGACAGGAAGCCGAGCATCAAACTTCCAGGGTCGGAGCCGACGCTCACCAAGCGCAGGGGGTCCCCTCAGCCCCCGGGAAGCCAGTGTGAGTCTAGGCTTGGCCCTGCGCTCACTGCAGGCTGGTGGGGGCCTGGCCTTGCTCTGTGGGGCCCTCCCGTGTGCCTTTGGTGGGGGGGGGGGCGTGTTGTCGCCTCGTCCATCAGGTGAAAGTGTTGACCCTTGCCAGCTGGATCTGTCCGTTGAGGGGTCTTTGGAGCTCACAAGGAGGAACGGTGTCTGATGAGTGGGGGTCTCCATGGCCCTCTTTGGGGGACGGCCTGTGTTCCTTACTGTGGCCACAGGAGCACAGGGCCTCTGTCCACAGCTAAGGGACACGGACTGATGTCCAGCAGAGGTGGCCACACCCTGCCCATGGCATTTCTCCAAAGTGTTTCCAGCAGGTGGTTGAAGGCAGCGGGAGACGAGCTGGGTTGGAACTGGGGTTGGGCTTTCCCAGCAGCCCCGTGGAGGAGTCCGTCGCCATGGAAAGCTGCTCAGGGGAGCAGAGGTTGGAGGCCTGGCGGGCTGCTCGGGCTGGTGGGGCCCTGGGGCCTGGAGACGGTTTGGCCAGAACATCCTGCCCTCTTGCTGAGAGACCCTCACTCCCTGCTGGTGCCCCTTGTGCTGGGCTAGGCTCACCGTGCACCCCAGCCCACGCCCACATTCTCTTGAATCTGACCCCCCGCTTTGGAAACAAAGATGCCACCTGATGAATCGGCCCAAGATCCTGGGCGGGGGCAGCATGAGGGGTCCCTCCAGGGAGCACTGCCTCTGAGTCTCTCAGATGGTGACTCCTTAGCTGCCTGACCCAGTGGGGACTGAGGCCAGAGCCCCCCCTGAAGACAGGTCCCACTCAGGGAGCCCTGGCCTCTGACGGTCCCCTCCCTCTGGAGGCATACGGCTGGCAGGCAGGTTTTTCAAGCATCTGCAGTAGCTGAAGGCCCTCTGCGGAGACTCTGGGCCCCGGGGAGGAGGCTGGAAGACGGGGCTCCCTCCTGGGGACCCCCCCCAGGACGTCCTGATGTGCTTACAGGGTAGAGACCAGTTGGCAGGAGAACCCCCGTGCCCCTTCCTCCCGCCAGAAAGCTGCCCAGCCGACCGCCTCTCCAGGTGATGCCCCTGCCTCTTGCATGAGGACCAGTCCCCACGTAAGGGGACTAGCTTCTCAGTCAGAGCCAGCCTGCTCCTACAGCCCCTGCCTCCCCACTGTTTGCACACCCTGCCTCTGCCGGGGTTTTCTGGCTTTGGTCCACTGGTCTGGGGGCTGTGAGGCATAGGCCCTGCGCTTCCCTGTGCTGGGGGGATGCCCTCAGCCTGAAAGGTGGTGACATCATCCCTAAACTCTCCTCTGTCTGCAGCAGCCAAGGTGGCGGCACCCCCCGCCCAGCGCGAGGCAGCCCCTGGCCCGGCTCAGGGAACCCCTGGACCTGGGCTCCGAGTCTGAGTCTGCTCCCAGCGCTCGCTCGGGGTCTTTGGCACGGTCCCCCACCCACCGCTCAGGGAGCAGCAGCCCATCCTGTCCCTCCCTCCAGGAGTCTCAGAAAGCATCTGCCATCCTGGTCCAGCTTTCCGAGAGCTCTGTCTCCTTGTCGGATGGGGAAGCCAGGGACACCCCGGGCGCAGACCGCAGCCAGTCTGGGGGGCTCTCTGCTGGAGGCTCCTGGGGGTTCCACTGGGGCAGAGGGCCGGGGACCTGGGAGGGGCTGAAGGGCAGCGGGGCCCTTTCCCTGCGGGGCTCCTGCGCTGGGGCGTGCGGCCCGGAGCCAGCAGCAGGGCTCCCCAACACCCCGTCTCCGCGGTCAGGCTCAGAGCTGTCAGAGGCATCCAGAGAGGTGTGGGACTGGGAGGGCTGAGGGAGCCTGGTGCTGGTGCTGGACTAGCCCCAGGGTGCTGCTTGCCCACAGGGGGCTCGTCCCACCTGGAACACGCTGGGGACCCCCTGTCCTGCCTCCCTTCTTGGGTCCAGGGGAGGGGCAGGAAGATTCTGGAACCAGTGGGAACCCGACTAGTGGATCAAACACAGGAAAAACCGAAGGGAAGTCCCCAGAGTCTGCCAACACAACAATCCCATCCCAAACCTCTTCCTCTGGTGACTTACACCTGTCCCTTTCCTTTCCTTCGGGGACCTCGGCCTCTGAACGGGCAGAGTTTGGCCAAAGAGGAGAGACGGGGCTTCCACAGGCCTCAGCTGGGTGCCCGCCCGAGTCCATCCACTGACGGGAAACCCCTACGGGCCTCATCTGAGCCTGAGGTCCCGGGGAGCCCACGGGCTCTTCCTGGGGCCCCTGGTGGGCCGGCAGCCCTGACAGCTGAGAGCCGGGCACCTGGGCGTGGGGAGAGCAGAGCCCCCTCTGTCCTGGAGGAAGCCTGCCCTCCCTTGGCCAGAGGTGTCTTGACTGAGATCCTGTCCCCTGTCCATGAGGTGCTGTCCTACGGCAGTGCCGACCTCCCGTCCTCCATGCACTGGGACCCCTGCCTCCCTTCTCCGCTTCCCATCCTCCCAGCAGACAGTGAGGGCAACCCTGCCAGTGCCCACTCAGAAGACTTCCCTTCCCCGCCAGAAGATGCCGACTGTCCTGGGGGCTCGTGGGGCACCCCAGGGAAGACACCTTTTTCATCACGGGAGAGCTGTCCTCCTTGTCTGAGGAGGGCCTGCCTGAGCCACTGTCCCCGGGGCCCCAGGAGTCGGGGTTCTGTCTGGGGGTGGCTGGACAGGGCAGAAACCTTGGGGATAAGTTGGGTGAATCCAGTTCTGTTGGGAGGGACCGGGCCATGGGTGGCCGGTGATCTGAACCATGCCCCCAGGGGGCTCCCAAAGCTGTCAGCACAGCCCCCAACCCTATCCAGAGTGGCCTGTGTGGCTGAGGACAGTCTGGCAGCTGGGGATCCAGGGCTGTCCGGCTCTGGGCGGGGGGACCCAGCTCTGGGTTTGGGTTCAGGCCTCCGCGCCAACCTCCCGGGTGTGGAGAGTGCCAAGGTGGTAGATCTGGTCTCCACCCAGCTCACCAAAAGGATCCTGTGCAACACGCTGCCAAGCTCTCAGAGGCGGAGGGGCCCGCGGGTGCCAGCTGTGTCGCCTGGGCTCACACAGTGGCCACTGGGCAGTCGTGGGGAGACAGGACTTCTGAGAAGATGGGGGGGGGGGGGCCCGGGT